ATTTGATGTTTGGGGTGACATTATTATCACATCCTAAATAATTAATATCATACTTTTTTAACGTAATTATTTATTATATTTTTACACAATAATTTTTCTTAAACTTTTATATTTTTTACTTCTTAATAAATTAAAAAGTAAAATAATCAATTAAGATAAAAAAATATAACATTAATAATTAAAAGTGTGACAATAACATCACACTCTTGGTGGTTAGGCCACAAATCAGAGAGGGGAACTAAGATAAAAAATTGTTGTGAAGGTAGTCTGTTAGTTAAGTTAGTTAGTTGTGGGAAGTCAAATTGTCAAAATTTGTGGGACATGCTCATCAACAAAAGAAAAATTGGGGGGTCATTATTTTTGAATTTACATGTTGGTTGTTAATCGGACGGTCAGGAAGTGACAGAACCAAAATTTTACTTTACAAATAAGTGACTTCTGAGTTTTGACGTTTGAGATTCCTCGACTAAGATGATCAATCACGTAGATCGTACGGTGTCTGTCCATCCGTATAGCCCGCAACCGGTGATTAATCCAATCCAAACTGTAAATGTAAAGCGTAGTGCTGGATCAGAGTCTGCCCTGTTAGAATGACAGCTGCGGATCAAGAATGACACATAAGCTCAGCATAGAATTTTTTCGATATTAGTACAAAAAAAATAAAAAAAATACTCCATTCTAACAAAAGTAATAAAATAAAATAGAATCACTCTAAGGGCCCCCAAGTTCTTCTGATGGGTTAATCTGAAAGACTGACAATATATGGAAGTCTGACTGTGATGTCCAGGGCAACAGAGCATTGAGGTTCGTGAAAGTTAACCGACAACATGCATATCCTTTTTTTTTTTTTCTTTATAAACCACTAATTTGCTTTTTATTTTTTAGATTTTTTAAGATCCTATTTTTTGTCTTCGTATATTTTATATTTTATAATTTTATGAGGAATTCTTAATTTGGTCTTTATTGTGTGACAACTTGACATGTGTTTTTCTTATTTAAGTGTGAAACTTTCATAATTTAGAGCTCAATGTTTACACATTTTCATTTCTAAAAAAATTTGATTTTTCTTTGGTTGCAGAATATGCTTATACATTGAAGGTAAATGAGAAGAGTGATGTATATAGCTTTGGAGTAGTTCTTTTAGAACTAATCACTGGAAGAAGGCCCATTGGTGATTTTGGTGAAGGTGTTGATATTGTTCAATGGATCAAGCAAATTACAAATTGTTGTCGAGAAGAGGTTACTCTCATAATTGATCCAAGGTTGACAGTTGTGCCTAAAGAGGAAGCGATGCACTTATTCTTCATTGCAATGCTATGTATCCAAGGAAATAGCGTTGAACGTCCTACAATGAGAGAGGTGGTTCAAATGTTATCTGAATTTCCTCGACACTCACCAGACAACCAATCTTCTTCTTCCTCAATAGTCCATCTTCAATCAAAAAATTTAGAAAAACAAAGGTTACCTTAAAAATAAACAAGATATATATATATATATATATATTTTTTTTTCTTGGAGTTGTTTTTTTTCCCTTCTCTTTAGAGAGTTTTGAATGGTGTTCGTTTTCGCCTGCCTATGTGCATGCAAATATAGCTTTTTTTTCTCCAAATAATTTTTTAAGGAAATTTAGGGCAGAAGATTTGGTAGCCAAATAGAGATAGGAATAAATTGTGAGGTGCATTGCCTTTTGAGAGAAAAATGTGCCCTTAGGTTGAGAGCTTAATTGCAACCTCAATGAGGTGATGCATACATACTCCTTGTATCATATATATCCTACTATATACATGTCATATTATATTTGTTTTTTTTTTTTTTTTACTTTTCATGTTTTCCTCTAATGTATTTGAAGGAGATTTTACACATATAAAGACATAACCTTTAAAAAATTTTATAATAAAAGATATCACATTTTTTTTTCAAACTAATCAATATTATCATTTTTTAAACATTTCTAATCAAGAATATTGCTTCTCAATTGTACTATTCAATTATTAATTGCTAATATTAAAAAAAAAGAAAAAAAAAAGAAGAAAGGTGACTTCTCTCTTAATCTGAACAATGCAGTAATAAAAAAAAAGGCAAATGAATGAAAAATATAAGTCTTGGGACTTAAGTGAAAATTTTTGGAAAGTTGAGGGACTATATTTTTAGAAGAAAAGTTCCAATCATAAACCTAAATGAATGAATTTAAAGTTCAAGTACCAAATTGTTCATAAAGTAGAAGCAAAAAGACAAAGATGTATTGTTTTACCATGGAAGAAATTGCAGAAAAATCCCAAAAACCAGACAGAGGGTACTAGGGTAGGTACCGACACCTCCTTGATTAGTGTTGACACCATAAGTCGAGATGTTAGACTTTAAGCATCTCCTGAAGTGAAATTTGATATAGAGGTGTCGATAACCATATTGTGGTATTGATATTTCTCTATAATTTGGGGGATAGGCTGAGAAGACGACCCTTGTGGGAACCAGTGTCCTTGTTTATTATTTTTTTTTTATTTTAAGTTTTTGGATTACTCCATTGTCCAATTTAGCAAATCAATTATCCAATATAGCAGCCACCTTTCATTCTTTTGACATGTCCGTAATTTTGGTTATTCTCATAGATAGAACATGTATGTTAATTCAGTTGGATATTTAATTAATCTTTAATTAGTAGAATTAAGAACATAGTATTTTTAATTAAAATTTTTTAAAATATGATAATTTTAATTAATTTAAAAAAAGTGATATCCTTATTAAATTAAAAAATAATACTCTTAATTAAAATTTTTTTAAAAGATAATATCATTGGAGGTGTGAAGTCATATCCTTGACGTAATAATTATTATTCTCTTCTCAACAACATTATTGTTGTTCTTGAAAAAAGTTCAAAGCAACGCAATAATTGATGGATGTGTTTATGTCACTTGAGAAGGAGCCTCAAACTTATTTAAATGTACGATCATCATTGCAATTATGTAGGAGCATTTATGATATTTGCACACTTTAAAATTTTTTATGAAGTTCCCTTTTTAAGGGTCACATGGAATTATGTGCTAGTTTAGATTTCCAATCCTAAATAATATACTTTTGAATCTTTGAAAATAATCAAGAAAAGCCCGGTAGAAGTGGGCCTTAAGTTTACGGCGTTGGGGAAAAGCTCGTACCCAAGCAAAATCATCTCCTCAAAACCCAAAATCCAATATAACAAGCTCATTTCCTTGTATCATCAAAGCAAGTCCTTGTCCATTGTCCAAACAAAATTGTCTTCAAGTCCAAAATCCAATATCACAAGTACATTTTTAACACATAAATTTGTACAAACCCCCTATTAACACCCTACATGTTTTTTTATTTCAACAGTCAATACCTTCAAGTTTTTCTTCCTCTCGATCAACACCCTTAAGTTTGCAAAATTTGCAAATAACCTAAAATTTAACAAAAAATCCATGTGCCACTCACGTGACCATTAACACTGTTAATTATTGCTAACATGACTATAATAGTAATTGCATGTCAAATAATTGTCCCAAGTGACAAGTTAAAATAATTTAAATTACATGTTTAATTTTAAACGAATATTTAATAGTTATCTATTAAATACTTAATCATATTAATTAATTAATAATTATTAACTAGATTAATGTGCCCACACCATTCTTCTTCTTCAAGCTCACCTTTCCCATTCCTGCATTTTCCTTATTTCAAAATTGTAGGTTTTTCATTTGTGTATATCTCCCTCCACTCTAATCCAAATTAAGCATATGATAGATCATCGGAAAGTTCTTTCACTTTTGAGACCTTTCTAACCATATAACATTCTTATTATGAATCATTGTCTATGATTAGTGAGAATTTTTTGAAATATTTAGCCATGAAAGATTAGATTTGAAATATCTCTAAGCACAAGAAGACTTTTGCTACCAAAAATTGCAGATTTAATCTAGATACATGGAAGATCATTACACCAAAAATCACACTAAGCATGCATCAAATTGCTATTAACATGCATTGACAAAGAATAGAAAAAGGAAAGGGACCGAGTTAAAAAATGGAGGCCACCTCTAATTCTGTAGATGCTATTTTGGTGAGTTAGACCTCTAAAAACTTGGAATTTTCTTTTACAATGATTGGATGCTAGTAAGGTTGCCGATGCTATTGAATTGAAGCTGCTTAACATGGATCTTTAGATCTTTCAGAGACAATTTCTTGCCCAAACTCAATCTCTTCCTTTTTAAGTCATCTCCTTTTCAAGACCCCGAAGTCCTCCAGGTGCTCCTTTTCTCTAATTTTAATTGGCCCATGTGTGGTTTTACTAAGGAAATGTTCTAACAAGAGGAATATTGTAAGTTCGAGAAATTTAAAGATGGATGAAGGGCAATTTAGATACTTTATGATAAAATACATTTTTTATTTTAATTAAAGAATACCATATCAGCTCAATATCAGTCACATAGCCAAAAGTTCCTCCAAATCATTAAATAGTGCCACACAAGCGAATTTCAAATAGTTTTTAATATGCGTGTGAGGGGCATGTGGATTTTTCATTAAATTTTGTGTTATTTTTAGATTTTGTGAACTTAAGAGTGTTAATTGAGAAGAAGAAAAAACCTTAAAAGTGTTGACTATAAAAATAAAAAAAAAATATAATGTGTAAATAAGAGATTTAACTATTTTTTTTTCTTTTTATGGGTACTTATTGGGATTCTTTTAATCAGAGTTTTACTCATTTTTTTTAATTTAGAAAAAAAAATTTAAATTTTTTATTTTACCATTTGAACTATATCATATTATTGAATGAAGGAACCAATCATCCTTATGTTCAAGGACTTATTGTTGTTTAATAATTACGTTATATAATACAATTTGTATATGGATAGTGATATAAAAATAAGTTTTTATATTATTATTTTATATAATTATTTTATATTATTAAATAAGTAAATATATTAAATATTATAAATTTTAAATAAATAAAAAAATTAATCATTTAAATAATAAATAAAATTGTATAAAAAGTAATATAAAAATTATTTTTAAATTATTTTCTTATATGTATATGGACACATTTTTAAAAGTATTAACAGCTTCACAGTGCTCACTCGGTCGAGGACAGGCTCGCGCCCGCTCCACAGAGGACAAAACAAATTAGATTTTGATTTTGATTTTGCCCCCAAAACACGGGAGCAATAATTAAGACTACTACTATCCTTCTAACGAAACATTGGCCATTACCTAGATGCTTCTAGCTCACAGATCAAACGCTCAAGATTCATCCCTGAACATAGGAGCCAATCTCGACCGTTCAATTTCTCCCAATTAATTTAGCCTTTCTCTTCCCACACGCTCTCTTTCTCCTCTTTTTCTTGACACCATTGCTGACTTCCTCTGTGGAATACAGCCTTTCCCTTTTGATCCCCTGAATAGCGGTTTCCTGAGCGGGTTCCCGATCTACCAAATCGGTCGTCTTCAGTTTTCTGTTAGGTATCCATCCACAGTTTTATCACTTTTCTGGTTCTCTAAGTTCTGCTCCACTCTATGGGCTAAGCTAAGCTAAATCTTCATTTTTGGTGATCTTTTTACAAATTTCGCTTCTGAAAGTTCGCATTTTTAGTAAGACCTGATTCACTTCTATAAATCCATCTATTTCTTGAATCTGCTTGCATTACGATTTAAATTTGGCGAATTTTTGCTTCATAAATAAAAGTCCCACATTTTCAGTAATATTTTGCTTGGTGTCTTTGAATTCATCAATCCCAGAAATTGTTCGCGTTTCGATTTGAATTTCGCGAAGTTGGTTTCTTGGTAATGAATCTAAAAGAACTCGAAAACAGAGTTTTTCAGCTAAAAATGTATTTTTAGGAATTATCTGGTGCAGAAATTTTCAATCTTTATTAAAAAGGAAAAAAGGGGTCTTCTTCAATGGAAAAGGAGAATCTTTTGCATTCTGTTCATGAGAAAAGAATAGAAACCCTTTTCCACACCAATCTCCTTGGTGTGCGCTAACCTGCACTGGGTGCATTATAGGCGTACACACTTTGTGTTCCGTTTTGGAATTGGTTTGATAGTGATATTTAGATTCTTTTTTTTTTTTTTTTGGTATTAGTAATTGAAAAATAATTTTGAGGGAAATCATCTAAG